ACAGCAAGATGTTCTGGTTAAAGCTTTGGAATCAGAAAGCTAGGGGCCAAAGCCCTGGTTCTCCCATTTGCTTGCCAAGTGGTCTTGGCCATGTTACATTCCTTCTCCCTGTTTCTACATCTGTCAAATGAATTCACCAAATTATGACAGCGACTAGTAATATTTACTGAGCCCGTGCTTGGTGTCCAGCACTATAGTGGATACTGTAATGTGCCACCCAGCTTCCCCTTCAGGGCTGGAGGATTTCTTTCTCCCACTCCCAGCTGCTCAGAGAGCTGCCAGCTGTCAACCCTCTCCAGGGCTTGCCCTTGGCTGAAGAGAACTGTCCAGTCCCAGGTAATGGCCTTTTCTGGAGGTAGCCTGCATCCTATGCAGAGATCCAGCTCCCTCACCCCAAGTTGGCACCCTTTACAGTCAGCTGACGCCTCTGTGGAGACTGCATTGCACCCCAGCATCTCCTTCTGCCCTATCCCATTTCCTTTCCTTCCCCACAAGTGTTGATCCAATAAACATCCTGCACACTAATCTCCATCTCGGGATGTTTCCCGGGAACTCACCCCAGAACAGGACGGGGAACCACTGGACCTGCACTGACTTTCTTAACACTCAGACCAGCCCTGTTTTTATGGATGAGACAATTGAGGTTAGACAAGACACTCCAACTGGCCAAAGACACACAACTAAGAAGTGGTGGCACTACATGGGGCAAACTCATTTGCCCAGATCACTGTGCTAGAAGATGGGAGGGCCAGGATTTGGCCCTAGGGCTGCTTAACTCTGAAGACCATGTGCCACAGCCTCCAGCCCAGGTCATTTACAACCAACAGGATTGCTAGAGGTACTGGGTCAGGTGTGAGTGCCTTTCCCTGCTGTCCTGCCACACCTGCTGTTATCCCTGCAGCTCATTCTGAACTTGCAAAATATGAATAATGCAAATACCTACCTCTTCAGGACGTTCTAAAGATTAAATGAGGTAATATACGTAAAGACCTCAGAAGAATAACTGGCATACCAGGAGCCCTTTATAAGGTAGGTTAAAAACAAATCACGTTATCAGTGTAAAGTTATGACTGTGACAGTGAGTGGGACCTCATCAGCTCTCTAATGGAGTCAAGCTTGACCTGAACTCCGAAAAAGTAGAAATTAAACGGGCAGCCAGAGGAAGGAAGAGCAATCCAGGCAGAGGAACCAGCACAAATGAACAAAAGCCCATTGGCAGGAGAAACTAAAGAAGGATGATAAAAAGCCAGAGTGACTAGCACAGAGAAATAAAATCCAGGCCCGGGCAAGAATGGTAGAAAAAATGAGGCTGCGTAGGAGGGTGGGAACCAAATTATGCAAGGCCACTCACTAAATGGATGATATTGGACAAGTCATCTTATCTCTCTGAGACTCATTTAGCTCATCTGTAAAATGGAAATAAAAATAGTACCTATCTACTAAGGTTGTTAAGGGGATTGAATGAGTCAATATTTATAAACCATTTAAAATTGGCATGCACATAGTAGGTGCTATAAATGCTTGCAGACAACATTAGGACTTTATCTGAAGTACAAGTGGGAAGACATAGAGGAGTCTGAATGTAGATGATAGGGCCGGTACTTAGTGGATGGGAGGGTGTATTGATGCATGGCTGGGTGGATGGGTGGGTGGGGGTGGTTGAGTGAATGGAAGTATGGATGGATTGTTGGAGAGAAGTATGGTTGGTGATGGGAGTGGTTGGAAAATGTAGGTAGCAGGGTGAGTGGATGTAAGGCCAGATGTTAAACTGGGTGCCAGGGTGGATGTGAGCAGCTGAGTGAACATGAGTGACTGGTGACTGAGGGAGTGGATGAGTGGTTGAATGAGTGTCTGGATACTTGGATGCGTGTTTGGTAGTTAGACGGGTGGTTGGGTGGATGGATGGGTGAGTGATTGGATGGTTGGGTGGATGGATGGGTGAGTGATTGGATGGTTGGGCAGGTAAAAGAACGGAAAGTGGGATGAGTGGACGGGGGTAAATGAGTAAATGCTTATGCGGATGGGTGGTTGTTTAGGTGTACGTTTGTTACAGAGGTTGAGTGACTGGAGTGGTTGGATGGATGGATGATTTGGGTGGATGGAGAGATTGTTCAGGTGGGTATTAAAGAACTTGGGTGAATGAAGAGATTGGATGGATGTCTGGGTGACTAGATGGTTAGGTGGATAAACAAAAAGTGGAGTGGGTGCCAGGGACCTGGGGCATGGAGAAGGGGACCGGACCTCTCTCCCACAACCAGGCACACCAAGCCAGTACCTTGGGGCCCAACCAGGAACCCGGGGTATGGAGTTGGGGACTGGACCTCTCTCCCACAACCAGGCACACCAAGCCAGCACCTTGGTGCCCAGCCCAGGGACCCAGGGTATGGAGTCGGGGACTGGACCTCTCTCCCACAACCAGGCACACCAAGCCAGCACCTTGGTGCCCAGCCCAGGGACCCAGGGTATGGAGTCGGGGAC